CCAGGCAGTTTCCCACAATGTGGATGCGCTACCTCGATTTAGAGACCCAGGATGCACTGGGGATTAATTACTCTGAATGGCCTGGGGGAGGAGCTATTTCAAAATAGCAGCAATGGAGTGTCCATGCTACTGTTATTCCAAAATAGCTATTTCAGAAGAGGCATTATTCCTCATGGAATGAGGTTTACAAATGCCAAAATAAGCTGCCTGTTATTTTGAAATTATTTTGAACTAACGGGCTAGTTGTGTAGATGCTCACATATTTATTTTGGAATAACAGATGTTATTCTGAAATAACACTGCTGTGTAGACGTACCCACAGTGAGCTAGCTGTAATTTAGCTACTTTGGGTACCACTAGCAGAGAAGCCCTCCCAGTTTAGGTTAGGAAACCTAAATACAGTGAAATCTTTGTTATCCAGCACTCTGTTAACCAGAAAACTTTGTTAACCGGCATTGCCCCCAGCCACAATACTGTCACATCTTCAGGCGCACAGGTCTGGCTTGGTTTACCATGACTGGCTTAACAATTTTTTATTTAGAAAGTACTAATCATCTTTAACTCAAAATAGAAATGTGAGACCAACTGCCTCACACTACAAAACTACCAATACAGCCACTCCCCGACTTAGGAACACATTGACTTACGACCATCCATACTTACGACCAGCCTCCCATTAACCGTATTATAATATTTTCGAGTTGAGAACCATGTACGTCAAGTTTTTCGAACAGCGCGGGCAGTGTGTTTAAGGGTATTTCCGACTTACGACCAAATCGAGTTATGACCAGGTGTTTGGAACATAACCCGTTCATAAGTCAGGAACTGCCTGTATTTAAAACTTGAGTTTTACTATTATTGCCATTAGTTTTTCCTAAGTTGATGGGACCCTCTGATAACCAGAATTTATAGATAACCGGAATGCCTTAATCCCCACGCATGATGGATAACACGGGCTGGATGCTTCACCACATATGTAAACTTCCTAGCCTAAACTGGGAGGGCTTCCTACGTTGCCCAGGCTGGCTAGATCAAAGCTGTCTTAGGTATGTCTCCACATGTTGGAGTCTCATCTGTGTAGACACGCACTCCAGGGAAGCTAATCTTTCCCCTGAGTCCAGTGCCCTGGAATGGAGCTATGTAGATGGGATTCCATCTTCTGATGATAGAAGACCATAGTCCACTCCTGGTCTTTCATGGGCCCATTCTACGCAAGGAACGGCAGGTGGGACCTGATTTTTTTTAGGACATTTTGGGCACATCTACACGACAGAGTTATTTCAAAATAACTCCCGTTATTTGGGAATAATAAGGTGAGCATTCACACAGCAAGTCCATCATTTTGAAATTATGTCAATATAATGGGCCTGTTATTTCAAAATAATAACCCCTCATTCTACGAGGAATAACGTCTATTTCGAAATAGGATCAGTGAGAGCACTTTGCTGCTGCTATTGCAAAATAACTGCTCCCCAGAGCTTCCTGGGGCTCTAAGTCAAGGTAGTGTGTCCACATTAAGGGAGCCTGCCTCGGACTAATTTTGAGGCTTCCCTGTAGTGTGGATGCGCTATTCCAAAACAGTTATTTTTGGAATTATTATTTTGACATAACTTATTTTGAAGTAACCCGGTAGTGCAGACAGAGCCTCAGGTACCAGCAAAACGCTCTGGCGTAGATGCAGCTATCCTAGCAAAAAAGTCCTTCCGCCAGGAGGGCTTATTTCACTTGCAGAACTGGTATAAGCAGAAGAGTTCTTTCGCTGGTTGAGACTGTGTCGACACTAGGAAGATTTGCCAGCATAGTCATACTGACATAGATGTCCCAGCAAACCCTTTCTAGTGTAGACGAGATCCTAGTCACTAGATATCCCTTGGCGTTGTTCAGAAGAGATCGGGCGTGGCTGGTTGTGCTGTCCACAGTCTAATGGCAGTAAGTAACATTCTGCTTCCCTAAAATCATGCCTGTTGGATATAGTATCCTCCACTTCCTGTCCCAAACTGGCGTGTAGTGTTGCTGTGCACTGCTGAACAGGTGCCATCTTCTGCCCTGCATTTCAGTGGTGCATGAAGCAATCCTCATATACATCCTCTAAAGCACATTGCGAGCCATAATGATCCCTTTTCCTGACTAGTTTTTGTCCTGTGTATCTTGTATTGAGATATTTTAGGAGCAATGTCTATCCAGATCTGTGACATGAAAATTACATTGTTTTTATCTGCCTCAAGCAGGCTTGCCCAAAAGAGGGAGAGGCAAAAGGGGCATCTCCAGGGTCTGGCATTACAAAAGGGCCCGGAGCTCCCAGACACTGGTACTACAGCAGTAGCCAGAACCTTGGGCCCTTTAAATTGCTGCTGGAACACAGTGGGGAGCTACTCCGGGCAGCTCTGAAGGCTGGCTGCCACTTGCCCCGCCCCCTCCCACTGAGGCTTCACCCCTACCGGGAATGCAGAGCCAGCCCCCCGTCGCCTTGGCAATTCTGTCGGTTCCCACTAGGTTTCAAGACATGCACAGACGGATTTTTCTCCTGGACATGCTGGACACCAGGCCTAGTCCTACCGCCTTCATTCAAACGGTCCCAGGTTAGCAGTCACCTGAGATAAACTAGTTCTCTTCTGAACCCGGAATGGACTACAATGCAGAAAATACAGAGAAAGTACACATGGCCAGATACACCCACGCACTTCAGTGGGACTACAGCAGGGCCCCAAAGATGTAATATTAACTGCACCTCTCTCCGGCCCCCGGATAAGTCTACACGGCAAGTCAAGGCGTGACTGCTCAGTAGACATACCAGTGCTTGCTGTATCTGCACTGGCACGGCTCACATTCGCCGCATCGATGTGGCGGCATGGGAGTCAGAGCAATGTGAGTCTGTGCCCAGGTTCTCCAGCATATTTGCACAGCGCACGCTGCCACGTCTGCACTGGTAGTTTACTGAAAGCTAGAGGAGGTCTGTCTAACCAAGCATCAGACGCACCTCAGAGTGCAGTGCTGGCAATCTCCTCGATGCAGACAGGACTGAGCGTTTCCTCTGGAAACCTTCATTCCCCCCCTCGGACCACCTCCTTCCCTCAGACTTTCTCAGAGGCAGCGGCGGATATAGGGCAGGGAGAGCGGGGCAGCTGCCCCAGGCCCTGCGCTTCAATAGACCCGGTGCATGTGCTATTACCTGTCAGCTGTGGCTGTGACATATGCGTGCAATTGTGCTGCGCCGGGCCCTGAGCTTCAATAGGCCCTGGGCCCCGCAAAACTTTCATCCGCCCCTGCTCAGAGGAAGGGCTCAATGTCATTTAGGCCTTGCCTACCCAGGGATATTGACTGAACTAGCTACTGCAGCAGTTCCTTACTGCCCCCGTGACTCCATTTTCAGACGCTTTGCCTTCCTGCCGCTCTACCCCTGACAGCCTGGAAGATGCCATTTTGAAGTGCATTTAGATTTACCTGTCACTGACAGACGGGTCAACACCAGGATCCTCTTGGATCGGGAACCAATGATCCACAGAAAAATCAGTCAGGGGCCGCACAGTAGTGAGAAGCAAAAAAAGAACAAAACCAAACCTTCTCTGAGGTGGCCCCTGACTGAGAAGGAGAAAGATGCTCCCCACATTCCCCTCCCACACCAGAGGCTGGGGAGGCGGGGCTGGCTAGTAGATTTTATGTGCTCCAGCCCTGTGGGGAGACGGTGTGGGAGGGTTGGAGCACCAGCACCGGCTACCCAATGCTTCGGGGAGAGCCTCAGGGGCCTAATCCAAGCAAGCCAGGGCCCACATCCAGCCCCCAAGCCTTATATTCCCTACCCCTGCTCTTTTTGGTTTCCTCTAAAATTTCAAGATCTGATTAAATGGGATCTGGATAACAACCTACTTTAGTTTTGGCTGAATAAAGCCAAACTATCTACTGGAAAGGTTTTGCGCAATCAAAACCTGACCCCATTGTGCCCAGTCTTTTGAAAGAGTGGTCCAGGCACAAATCTATGTAAGCCAAAGGTCTCCCCAACTCAGACCTTTCAGCAACGTGCATTTCATTTCTTTACCACTATCACCTGAACCTCTAGCTTCTTTCCCACGTTTGACTTGAGGTGTTGGGCAATGACATACTTAAACAAATGCCAGACAAAAATAATTATCCACATCCTTCTTTCAAATGTATGGATTTCCCCCTCCCCACCCTCAGACTCATCCACTCGTAAAGGTTCTCCCTTCTCCTCTGATGGCTTTGTTTATACTGAAGTGAGACACGGGGAGTTTATTATCTTCCTCTGATGACACCTGGATATTGCATAGGACTGGTCCAACAGGACTTTTCGGCATTATTATCATGCAAATAGGTCAGCACCTGTTACATTTTCTGTGTGGAAGAAAACTGTACTCATCTTCTGGAATCATGTATTAACCCACAGCTTTGAGCAGAACAGAGTAGTCCCTCTAAATGCAAATATGAAACACGGAGGGTGTTATGTTTGTAGATTAATTAATGAGGCGCTGTAATTAGAACCTCTTGGATGAAAGCTGCCCACAATGCAAATATTCCCCGCTGTGCAGCGCTTCACAGACATGCCAATTAATCCTCCAGCTATGACGTATCGCTAACCCCATTTAAGCAAGGTGAAACGACAGGTGACTTTCCCGAGCCCAAACAGTAAGTCATTGGCAGAGCCAAGATTAGAACTGTACTTCCTGACACCTGGTCCTGTGCTCATTCCTTTAGACCACAGTGCGTCGCTAATGAGTTTCACTATAAAACCGGTGACAAAATTCCACTTTGTCCAAGAGGTGGTGGCCCAGTTGGGAAACAGACAATCCCTTGCTCCAGAAGCCTTCATGTGAAGGGGAAGAAAGACATTTAGGAGGCAGAATACTCCAGTGGAAACCTTAAATGCCTGGGTGAAGGAAGCTAGATTCAATCACTCTTCTCCTCTCACTTCATTGGGTGGCCAGCGCCGTTCACTGTGATTTATTTTCTTTCCTTTGTCTTCTCTTGGAACGATCTGCCGGACCCAGCGATGAACCACGCCAGACCTCGCTACTCCATCGAGCGTCCTGCGTACTCAGTTGACCTCTTCGATGAAGAGTTTGAGAAGAAAAAGAGAAGTTACCCACTTGGGGAAAAAGTGAAGAACCTTTTCAGGTAATGTGGAATGATCCTAAGTCTCTTGGGGAGCATGTGGCCAGGTCAGATTTGCCTCAGTGGTGCGGTGTTTAGGGGGGCGGAGAGAGGAGGAGGAGGCGACTCCCCGGAGATCGATAAATTTCCATAAAAAAAATATTCCGGGGGAAACTTTATTTAAGCAAATAAGAGTCTCCTGTGGTGTGTTTTGCAACCCCGGCATTGCAGCATGGGGGAAGCAAGGACAACGCGTTCATAATCTAGTCAATTTCACAATTAGTTGAGATTTTTCCATGGCATGAAGGCAGTAAGCAACCGCCTCCCACCTCTTTGCGGGTTTGATTCAGACACACACTAAGGCTCCGTCCTGCAGCTCTGGTAGCATACAGGGATCTTGAAATAATCAGAAATGGCATCTTGAAAATACCTCCAGGCATAAGGAGGCTCTGCAGCTGGCCCATCCCTTGTGCAAAGGCTCTGCATCTGCCCTGTTACCAGCACCCAGGGACAAGGTTGCAGTGCACTGCATTACGGCTAGTCCTTGCTTCCCAGGCTCTAGCATAGGCCAGTCTTAAAACTGCTTTAAATTACAGCGAGTGCCTTAGAATACAGCAGTGTTTCTCAGACAGTGGTACAAGTGCCCTTAGGGGTACTTGAGAGAAGTCTGGGGAGGGGGGGGCTACATCAACACCACTGAAATTTGGTGTTTTAAGTTTTACAGCACTGTATTATTTTTGTACTTTATACACCCAAAAATTTCATCACCCGCCCAGCTACGATTAAGTTGTTTAAACAAATGTGTTGCAATGGTAGAAAAAAAAATTGTGTGTCTGAAAACTGTAGGTACTAGGGGTACTTATAACTTTTTTTTTAAAGGAGTACTTTATAAAAAAAGGTTGAGAAACACTGGAATACAGAGTGCAAAGCTGGTTTCAAGCCACTTTAACACTCTTTGAACCTATATAGAGTCCTGGCCCTGCCCCCAGCCCAGGAATGGAATAACTGAGAGTCAGGCTCCTGGTGATAGCTAGCCCAGCACAGCTATTTGGAGGGGAAAGATTTCCAGTGGGGCAGCAGTTCAAGGGGCTGTCTAAGCTGCGGATAGGCAAAGCCATAGGCTAGAGATCCTGGGTTAAACTTGACACACTGATGCCTCAGAGGCTATGCCCATATTGACTTAAGATTTGGGTGGCGTCCAGGCGCATAAACAGCTTTTAAGTGGAGAGAGGTTTTGAGTAAGCCCAAGGAATAACTGTTCTGTATTGCAGTTCACCAAAGCACAGAACAGCACTTCCCCCAGCAGAAAATGCAATCACAGCCGCTGGAGATTAACAAATCCGGGACAATCAGAAATGAGTAATGAATGTGTTTGATTGGGTTTGCACTGTAATGGAAAAGTAAATGGAGTGTATGGTTTACATGTGGTTTGCAGTGTGTCACCTCACCAGAACTGAGCCTGGCTCTACTTGTGAACATGCTTTTGCTTTGCATTTGCATAGAAAGCATCTTTCACCCAAGCATCTCTATGGACTTTTCAGACATTAGCCGAGGATTTAAAATGCTGCCTAGAGCAGGGGGCTGGACTTGATGACCTTCTGAGGTCTCTTCCAGCTCTATGGTTCTATGATTCTATGAAGCCTGTGCATGTATTGTTAGATGATTGCAAGCTGAGATTCAGTGACATGTTTAATGCTTTCTAATGTGTCAGTGGCAGAGAGGGGAATAGAATGAAGAGCAACCCAGTATCCAAATCTGATGTTCTAACCATTAAAGAAAGACACTAACTGAGATCCCAGGGTAGGGGATTTAGAGGTCAGGGCTTATTTTAATTTCAATAGTAGATATGTGTCTAAATCAACATAACCACTTTGGAAACTGCATCGGCTCTTTCTAAATTAGAATCCCCGTCCAACCATCCATTTAGGGTCTCTAAACAGATCCCTTTTCCAATATGTGTGATGTTCAGCCTATGTTAGGGTATGTCTACACTAGCTCGTTAGTTCGAGCTAGGTAGGCAAATGAGGGCAACCGGAGTTGCAAATGAAGCCCAGGATTTAAATATCCCGGGCTTCATTTGCATCTTCCCGGGCACTGCCATTTTTAAATCCCCTTAGTCCGAACTCTGTGCCCACAGCTACACGTGGCACGGAGTAGGTAGTTCGAATTAGGATACCCTTAGTAACCGGGGGCAGCTTCTGGAAGATGTCTGTCCACCTCGGGTATTTAACAAGACCCTATGTTTGCCTCAATGGTTTATTCGTGAAGATTTAGTTTATGTGGTTTCTATAGTCTGTTTCCAATACTTGTCCGTTGTGTTATGTCTGCTGAGTGATCAGCAAAGCTGCACATTCATTTGGTTTCTGCTGAGTATTAAAATGTGTTGATTCAAGGCGCCTAGTAACCCAGGATGAGAGCTGGAGCAAACCAGAGCTCCTTGAGCGGCGGGTATAAGAGGCAGGGGAAGGCATTGCCTTCCCACACTGCCAAGCGTGGCCCCACCCACACTCAGCCTCCTGCTTCAGCGTGGCTTCTGGGCTTCAGCCACACTGAGGCTGGGCACACTGGAGATGCCCAGCCTCTCTGTGCTCTGGGGCCAGGGAGACTCACTCTCCCCCAGCCCTGGGTTCACCAACTGCCCATGCAGAGGTAGTTTGGATTATGCTAAACCTCACTGGTTGGGTTTTGATTTTAAAAGGTCAGAAGCACAATTGTAACATGGGCCAGATCCAATTCCACGTTATCTGAACCTCCAAAGCTTTGGCGAAGGGCTGATGTGGATAATGCTTCCAGTTTCCAGGTGTACTGCTGTGAAGAAGAACGGGTAGTTTAAATGATGAAACAAAACCAGAGTTTGGATTATGCTAAACCTCACTGGTTGGGTTTTGATTTTAAAAGGTCAGAAGCACAATTGTAACATGGGCCAGATCCAATTCCACGTTATCTGAACCTCCAAAGCTTTGGCGAAGGGCTGATGTGGATAATGCTTCCAGTTTCCAGGTGTACTGCTGTGAAGAAGAACGGGTAGTTTAAATGATGAAACAAAACCAGGAACAATTTTGACCCAGGTCGCATTTGCTCCAAAGTTTGGGCAGGGCCTGGATAAATGGCTCTGACCCATCCAGACCTGTGTCCCAACGGAGCAGCTAAGAATAAAAGGCCTGATTCATCTTTGTATTTCGCCTCACATCAACACCCGTGCCAGCATGACGTGCCTGCAGAACGCTGCCACACCAGACTGGTGATGCTTCACGCCTCCTTTGCCTTCATACCTGCTCCGCACTAGTGTAAACGGCTGCCCCAGGCAAGAGGCAATGAGAATCAGGACCATTCTCCTCTGCAGAGGGAACCTCTGAGCGAGGGGAGATGCTTCTCATCTGGACCCCTCTTCCTTACTTGTGTTTATTTCCTCTCCAGATGTTCGTCATCCCGATTCAAACGCATCATCTACAGTCTGTTCCCAATACTTGCTTGGCTCCCCAAATATAAAATTAAAGACTACATTTTGCCCGATGTCCTGGGTGGAATCAGTGCAGGGACCATTCAAGTGCCACAAGGTGAGACAAGGTTTCCGTTCCCCACTGGGAGGTAGCAGGTAACTTCCTCCCATGAGCAGCTGGGAGGAGAGAACATTCCTGCCATGGGGGCAGGGGACTGGACTCGATGACCTCTCGAGGTCCCTTCCAGTCCTAGTATTCTAGGATTCTAGGATTCCTGCCTTGCTCCAAGTCCATTGTCCCCTTCCTGGGATGTGGCTTTGTTGGTAACAGAACATAAATTCTCTGGCTCATCCTGGGTGTCCCTGCTGGACCACCCTGGCTTTGCCCTAGCAGCCTGTCACTCCCCCCATCCTAAGAGTTAACAAAACCCCAGCAGCTTTGTGCAGATTTTAAACTTCCGCTAATAGGATGAGTTACTAGACGCATCCTGCATCCTGGTGGAAGCTCACAGATCCTGCTCCCTTGGTATGCAGCCCACTTCACAATCCACAGATGTCCATTATGGGCTTTCTTGCACCGTCCCCTGCAGCATCTTGTCTATTGCCACAGACAGGCTGTTGAACTTGCTGCGTCACTGGGCTGTCCCAGTAGGGGAAATCCCAGGGACTGCAGCTGCTACTGAGAGGGAAGAACCAAAGTCAATTTAACTTGCATTTTTCAGGGATGGCCTTTGCACTGCTGGCCAGTCTGCCTCCTGTCAACGGGCTCTACTCCTCCTTCTTCCCTTTGATACCATACTTCATCCTCGGTGGCATCCACCAGATGGTCCCAGGTAAGTTCTCCTTTTGAGCACTGAGATTTGACTGTGCATTGCATTCCGGTTACATTCAGCTGTCCCACATCTCCTGGCATGGCACCGTCTTGCCTAGGCTGCTCTCTGGTGCATTGTGCCATGCATGGGTAGCTGGTATAAGAGACAGGGGGGGGCATTGCCTTCCCAAACTGTCAGGTGTGGCCCCACCCACACTCTGCACCTCT